TTGATACAGAAGATTTATCTGAAATATGTTTAGGAACACCGCTTGGGAGATGGTCTGAGTGATAATTACATATCGAAAGCTTAGACTGAAATACTAATACCGCTGCTGCTATGACATACTGTCAATTAAATTATACATTAAAAATATCTGGGGTGCTCACCTTCTCCCCACCCTCCCAAGACATTTGATTGTTCTTCTCTCCTTAAAAACAATGCAAGCCATAGTATGTTCGAGAAAATTTTAAATCATAAATAATTACATTTGTTCCATGATTTTCCCATTGTTCTCTGGTTTAAAATTTCCTGAAAATTGAAACTCCGTAAAAATGTGGTTCTCTCTGTTAGTTTCTAATCCTATCAAAACGCACTCCATCAAAAATTCAAAACATCGGTAAATATGTGCCACCATAAAAAATATATATAAAACTTATACAATGCAAAACACCTTCTGGGCACTCCTCATGACAATAATTGAGTAGCTACTTGTATATAGTAATATCAGTGTGATCTAATATATAAATAAATATAGAAATATATAAATAAATTTGGATTGTACATGCTTGTTTCATAAATATGATGAGTGAATGACAAATTATGGATGTTATAATATCCAAAATTTATGAGGGAAAAAGTACCAATCACTGTTAAAAATTGACTTCGTTGAAAGCATTTCCAATTTGATTGGCAAACAGATTTTCTATGAACACGAAACGGTATGATTTAAACCATTTAAAAAAAAAACATAATAATTCAGATTAAACAATATTTTTAGTTATTTTATTCCTATGATACACGTATATACTGTTTTTTTCACAGCCTATTTATATGACTCCAAAAAACTAACTTCTTTTAAGTCGACCCCAATATGTTTAAAAATATGTCTCTGTTCTTTATGTATACCTTAATGAAAACTTGCATTAGAAAGATCTTTTCAGCTTTATTTGTGAGCATGTAATCTGTGACTAATAAATTAACTATTTACAAAGTCCTCATTAAGCCACTTTGAACATATGGAATCGAACTATGAGGAACAGCAAAGAAATAAAATATAAAAATCAGCCAGTCATTCCAGTCAAATGTCCTTCTGGAAATTGTAGACGGTCCCTTTTATGTTTCAAACCTTACGTTACACACTGACCTTAACATTCATTACATCACGCAGCTGCCACTGACCGCTTTAATAATTTTTATGACAGACTGATTCTAAATTCAAATCCACTTACTCCAGCTTTATCGACTGCCACATATCGATGTAATCCGCCCAGAAGACTGCTGAGGCACTGGCCAAGAGACTCATTGCATTGAGCTACTTGATGTACTATGTTTTTTGTGTATGTTATTATGTGTTATTTTACTACTTTTTTTTTTGTTATTACAATTTTTTTTTTATGCTGTCATTTATTCTCCTTAATATCATATTTGCTGAATACCGAGGTAGATGGAAAATTGATTGTAAGCCAGGAATATGTATAACTAATAATAAATATGTGAGCATAGGTTAGTACAATTGTTCAATTAATTGGTTTAGTGAAATGTAAATAAGTTGTTTAAATTGAAAAAGTGATATTTTTAATTCTTTGATATTAATTTTGTCTCAATATATAATTTCACTTTCGCTTCCTCGTCTATCTGTCCTCAATCGCGACAACATACCAAGAATTATTTTTGTATTTCTGACTTCGAAAAATAGCTAACGAAACTAGTTCATATTACCCCTAAAGCAACCTGTGTTATTAACATATGGTCTTTGTTTAAGCATTAATTGTCATTAATTGAACCAGTGCGAATTTGTTCTCCTGAACATTGAATAATTCAAACGACTTTCAATAAGCTTTTGAATAATATAAATGACATTTAACTGTTAAATATGTTAATTTCACAAAGTGGTCCTTAAATATTTTGTCAGTTTTATTTATAACAACGCTAATGCACGGAATGCTAAAAACTGAATAGGCATATTATTAGTTATATATGATTCATTTCCCCTATAATTTTTATTATAAAAATCATTGAAAATTAATAGAAATAAGATTATATTTGACTTCGGGAAATTTTATAGTAAGCGTTTAAAAAAAGAGGAAAGCACAATAAATTGTATTGGTGCTTCATCACTCAGCATACTAATCAGTCAATTTTAAAAAACACGCAAAATTTAATTGTGCTTGTGAGAAGTATATTTTGATTTTATTAATTCAGAATGAATCGTTTCATCAATAATTATTCACAACTTTAAGGAAACAAGAGTTCTTAAAAAATAAATAACGTATTTTTTTTATCGTATTTTTGGATTCAATAGATTTTAGAAAATGCATTTAAAGTCTCGAAGATTTAAAAAAAGTAACAGTTTCCAGTTTTTCAAAACCTCACTATCTTCTAGTATTGTTTTTATTCTTCATGCAAATTTTATGATGTAATTGCGAAATGGAAAACTCTTCAGTTGCAGCGAAATTAAACGAATTACAAAGAAATCGATTCTTTTTTTCAATCAAATACATCTGGGTAAGATAAGGTATACGAGTAGATGAGAGGGAAGGTGGAGACTTGAATTACAAATTTCGTAGTTGCTCTGCATTCCAACTTGATTGACGAATCGATAAGAGTTGGTTTCCAAGGCCTGTATTATTCAGGCTCTATATCGGCCAAGTATTTTTCAACCATCACTTGACCTGGCCTATAGCCTACATTTACATTATCACCCATAAAACAGGGATGGGAAGAAATAACAGTTTCATTTAAAAACAGGAAAAGTACTCGAAAGTAACAGGTTATGCAAGAAAAACTGCTTCAGTGAGGTTTTTCCATGATGTCTGCCAATAATGGTTAACTGTTTATTTTAAATTACTAAATTCTCAAGTTTTTTTCTAAAAAAATTAAGTAATATTAACTCTAATACGATTTCTCAGAACAGTATTAAAAATCTAGTGTCACTCAAAACATGAATGATAATTAGAACTGTAAAACATTCCATCAAGGACATATCTACAATATTTTTTTTGGGGGGGGGGGAGAGGAGAGGAAGCCAAAATCTAGAAATGCTCATAGTTGAAACAAAATTTTTCAACAATTGAAATTGTTGGAACAAAATTTATAAACGATTTCTAACATTAGTTTAAAAAATATAGTATTTGTTTATTTAGCACAGTAATATTTCAATTTTCCCAAATTATTCGGACTTTGAATGCAAATGTTATCACTTGACAATAATACTATTTTTTCTATTCAATATTAAAGGTAGTGGCATTGATTAACACTAACAAGTAACACTAAGTAAAACGCTAATGCTTTTTTTAAAGTTCGAAACAATAATGGAGCAGATCCAGAACTTAATTTTGTGAAGGAGAGATTTTTTTTAAATGATGTTCAAGTGGTACTTGAAGAGCTGTATAAAAAAAATTAATTACAGGAACAATAGTGCTTCATTTTTTTTTAGACTCGTGCTTTATTTATTTTTTTTAACTTAGATGACTCACAGAAACAAGTATGGACCAATGAAAAAAAAAGCAAACTATTGTGCTATTTTAGCTTTGAAGGTACCGAAGCAATAAACCATTAGAAGTGAGAAGTAGTCAAAGGTATTATTAGATATCCTGGAGAACTGTTCAAACATCATTGGTCCACACCGAAGAACTGGAAAAGACCAAACTCTTCAAAATGTAACAAATAATTCCAGGAAGAATTAGGGGAACTGTGAATTTGTATTTAAAAAAGTAGTGTCAATTCTCACTACAAACATAGGAAGACAATTGTCACCAACATATGTTGTTCTCTAACTCGCATGCTATAGACTAAATAATCTGAAAATATAAGTAATATGAGTGAAATGGTAAGACCAACAGGATCCAAAAAAATCTAACAGGATGAAGAAAGCATACAGTATATATTACCAACTTTGCAACACGATTGTGGAAAAGAGAGAGATATGAAGGAATATAAAACTCCACATTAACCAATTCCTTACATTGTTATATGGAGCGAAAGCTAGGCTCACCTAAGAGAAGCACTTAAGCAGGATTATGGCTACAGAAATGAAATTTCTATGAAGAATATTGGGAAAAACTAGTAGGCATAGAATAAGAAATTAGAGAATAAGAGATGAGCTCCTGGCACCCTCACTGAAATCAAATATCGAATGCAGACAACTTCAATGGTAAGGACACATATGTAGAATAGGAAAAGACAGAGTGACAAAGAAATGTTTGGAAGCAATTCCAACTGGCAGGAGAGAAGATCCAACACGACAGGCTTAGAAGATACCAAGATAATACCCAATGATAAGGTCAGGAAAGAAGGAAAGTCCTAGCTCAGTTGAAGGAATTGGCGAGAGAACAAGATTTATGATCAAAGTGGCTGGAGGTTCCTCCATGCTGAAGAAAGAAAAAGAAGGTTAATATAAATATGTCAATTTTTTAAGTTGAATGGTAAATGTAAAACAATTGAAAAACCCATCATTCGGCATTTCTCACCTCCCTTTTGACAGTACATCTCATTAATGGTACCATGGTCATTTGAATGAGAAGAAGATCTAATGATCATCAGTAATAGGAAGTGATTGATGGGTAATTGTTACAGCCAATATTTTTGTAGTTTCTCAAAGTAATAATAGTGCTTTACCTGATGTTTAGGCAAATATACATTAAGATATCTTGTATTATATTGAAATTAATAGTTTTTAATACATTTTTTTATAGTCTATTTTAACAAATATTTCTATATTTTGAAAAATATTCGTGTTCGTAAGGACCTATTATATTTGGTAGTATCATTTAATTCAATATTTCTCTTTCATTTCAAATGCTATGGTTTCTAGATTATATGTTAGTAAAATAATGAAATATCTAGTCTCTTTTTTAAAAGTTTCAAATGATATTTTGTACTTATATACCTTAAATTATTTGATTCTTAAAACAGAGTGTCCCATAAAACAATTTATTATTTTTTTAAAAAAATATATAACTATAATTTTAAATTGTCTGTAAGTTTAACTAAAAATTATTTTTTCAGGTACTTATTTTCTCCTTTATGATTTTATTGACTACTTTGAAAAAGACGGTGCAAGTCCATTACAGAGAGACAAGTTTGTAGATATCGTAAATACAATTTTTAAAAACAGAAGTCATCTTGAACGTGAAGCCATCATATTTCAGGTTAGATAATGAATTCATTAAAGACTATTTTATAAATAATTGTTACATGTTTGAATAGCATGAAAAATAAATATTTACTATTTCAGTACACAGACTGGGAGAATGTAAACCATGTAATCAGGAATCAAGAAATGATAGCTGATGTAGTCGGTGACTATTTTTTTATTTGTCCTACAAACTTGTTTGCTCATACATTTGCATCTCATGGTCTCAAAGTTTATTATTATTATTTCACCCAGGTAATTATGCTCACAATTTTTATATAATTTTATTTAACATAAATTTTATATTATACGTAGCAAAAAAAGGATGATTTATTTCCTCATAAAGTTTCACAATTTCATTTATCTCAAACATTTTCGTACAAAGGTTCTCTATTCAATATTTGTTAATATAACTCAATACTTTTTTTATTCATTAAAGAGTTTTCTATGCCCCTGTCTTTTTACTTATTAGTTACCCAATGATAAATACACAGTACAGTTTAATTTTAATCGCCAGAGATGACATAATTTGGTTATAATCACTGAGACATTTCACAAGTCATGAGTGATTCCTCTAAAAAAAGAAAATAACTACAAAATTACAACTGTCACGAGTAATAACTAGATAATATCATAAGTTGTCAGTTTTAAATTAAATCAACATGAACATTTTCTATAGATAAATAATAAAATAAATTAAATATAACTAAAAATAAAATATATTATATGAATCAATCTTTTCAATACATATATGATGAATTGCCAGATTAACAAAGAAATGATGCCTAATATATCAGAATCATTTAGATGTAGAAATTAAATCTAATAATTTAATAAATTATAAAAAAAAAAAAAAATGAAAAAAGAATTTTGTGAAATAATGTGTAAATCTTAGTAACACTTTAATTTAAGTGATTCATATTCAATATTAATGATTCATATACTAATAGAAATGCTCTATTAGAATGAGAGGCTGTTTAAGCAGTAAGCAGACTCAGCAGACTAAGCAACCTCATAGAGTCCCTGAGAAAACGGGGCCCAAAAGAGCCAAAATATCTTAACATGAAGATTTTGGAAGTGACCCGAGAGGTTCAAAAATATTTAGTCAAACAAGAGAATTTATAAATGAAATGTTAAATTTATTGCTTCAGAGTTGTGATCTTTAATTGTTAAGTTTTTTTTTAAGACCCTCCAAATTAACCACTTAGGCTCCCACTTATCTTTGTAAACTGTAATTTCTAAATCACAATTCTGATGTTTAAATTGTTTTAAAAAACTTTATTTTAACAAATATCATAAAGCACATACCCTGAAGATAGTTGAAAGCTTCCGTTTATATGCCTCTAATAGCTGGAATAGAACACATGAAAATTTCTTGAAGAGAAAACTTATAAAGCACTAAGTAATTAAGCAGAAAAAAATGGTAGGAGAAATTTGTCACATTAGTCATAGTTGAAAATCGCGGGTTTTTAAGAAAAAAAAACAGTGTTGCCACTGTATTACTCAGAACTGTGTTTGATTCTTCGTTTTCGGGTTAGATATCTATAATAATAATTTTCTTACGCTAATCTCTTATCAAACAATAAACAATTCCTAATATTGAAAAAAATCTTAATTAAAAAAACCAACGATATTTTAATGGGTGCTTCCTTATCCTAAATAAGTCAACAGATGCTGCTTTTCAAAAGGTCGGATTTGACAACCCTGAGAAGAATCATAAAAACATCTCAATCTTTAATGAATAATTAAAAAGAATGGTTTAAGATTATAAAATGGCATTGTTCATTCGGATAATGTAATCCAAACCATTTTTGTGACATTAATTTTGAAATACATAATGTGATCAGATTTTAAGATAAGGTGAAGACAAGGTGCCTATTATATGTTAATTAATTTTCTTGAATAATTATATATCTTGAAGACATTTTCCTAAATATCGAAGGTATGACATAATAAACAAAACTATTTTTAATTGTTTGTTAATAATTCATTAAAAAAGTTATGTTGTTTCTGTGATAACCTGCCCAGTTCTGATATGTATTTTTATATTCCACTTTATGGTTTTTGGGCCTGTTTGCATTCATTTTCAATCATCAGATTTCAGTTTTATATCTAATATTGCTTTTCATTACAGTTGAATCAAATCGCTGAAGTATATTAGTGTTCCTCTATCTGAAATTTAATGTTTGGCATTAGGAATAACTTCAGGATTTTTATTGTTTTAATTGTTTTCAGAGATCCAGTAATCACATTTGGGGAGAATGGATGGGAGTGATGCATGGGGATGAAGTGGGTTATGTGTTTGGCCATCCTATCAACGACTCCCATCAGTACAATGCAAGAGAAAGGGATCTTTCTCATCGAATTATGCAAGCATTTTCCAGATTCGCACTTACAGGGTATGTAGTCATTAGGAAAAATTACATATAAATTTTTTTTTTTAATTTTACCAATTATATTTATCACTGCTGCATATAACATTTACATTTATGCATTTTTAAAACTATGATCTCATTTTAAAAAAAAAGTAGGTAGATGGAAAAAATACTTCACCACTGATGCACGTGATTATCAATCAAATCGAAACTGGTTTTCTTCATTCCCACCTACCCTACCTATTTTGTTTCAATAATTGCTTAGAAGTTTGTCTCTTCTGAATATGGAAAAGGTCTTACAACATATATTAATGTCTTCAAAAAACCTACGATTATAAAGATATAATTATTAAAGAGGAACTATGATTCTAATATAAGAATAATTTTTATATTCTTGCTATGAACAAATATCTTATCTTGGTATTTCTTAAAATTGTCCAATATTTCTTATTAGTATTTCTTAAACACTCCCTCTCTACCGTTGCATAATGTGGGGTTGCCGTCTATAGAGCTTGAACCAAGTGACTCTCTCCTGTACCAGCTCTCTCCTCCTGCTCCTGCTCTAGTCCAGCCCTTGCTTCCTAGATGCCTCCTGCATGCCTTCCTCCTAGGTGTTCCATGGTCTTTCTATTGGTCTTCTTCCTCCACTCATGTTTCATGCGTTATCCTGACTGTTCTGTCCATATTCATTATAAGGAGGCTGTTCTCTCCATAACCATCTTAATTTATTTTCCTCAAGAGTGGTTTCTACCAGCTGTACCTTGAGATTTGACCTTATAGTTGTGTTTCTGGTTCGATCTCTCCTTGTCTTCTCTTCTACCTTTCTCAGGCACCTCATCTGCTTGTCTGGATCTGCCCCTTATAATTAGAGGTAAGGATCCATGGCTCCAAGGAGTAAGAAAGGATAGGCAAGAATGTTGAATTGTAGACGGATATCTTGGTTTTCTTCGTCACCCCTCTTCCGTTAAGGAAAGCTTTCCTGATCGAGTGGAACATCCTTCCAGTCTTTGTGACTCCTCTTTATCAATATAGTCACTTTCATTGATCCAGGCACCTAGATTTTTTAAATCCTACAGGATGAATAATTAATTAATTAAAAAATTAATGTTATCAACTGTTTCAAAAAAAGGTACTTCTCTATTAGCGGGTAGAGTCCGACTGCTATCCGCCAATGTTTATAACCTTAACACTGATAAGCTCTTCGTATTCGTATATATTGTATTATATTCATTTTATTATGTGTTCGTATTCATATTGATTGTATTGTATTGATATTATTGAAATTGTGAACAAAAACAGAAAGAAATGTAATAATAAATGCTTTTATTTCACAACGTATATTTAAAAATACTTTTATTTCACAAGGTATATATTAAAATATACCAAAACATAAATATATTGAAAAACATAAATATATACCAAAACATATATATCGTAAAAACATAAATATATACCAAAACATAAATATATAATTAAAAAACATTACGAAAACATTGCAACATATATACAAAAATAAATGAAATAATAAAAATAGGCCCAAAATAGACAAAAAAGGATTAAATAATAAAAAACTACTTTAACAGGATATGTACATCTGAAACAAAGATTATGAATAAACGATGGAAACAAAATATGAAAAATTTTATTTTGGTAGGGAAAATAATTTTATCGTATTTAAAATAGCGAGGAAGAGATCCTGATGTTTATGCGCCCGCCGCCACAATAACTTAAAGAATACTAAAGAACAACTAAACTAAAGAACAAGAAAAACTAAAGAACACAATAACTTGAGAAACGAGATTGGGTCGATAAGGGAGGTTATCTGAAACGAGATGGTTATCTGAAACGAGATTAGATAAGAAGGAAGGTTTCGACTCTACCCGCTAACAGAGAAGTACCCAAAAAAAAAAAATATTTATTTTTTAAAATTAAAAACTATTAGAATTTGTTTTTTTTTTTTAATTAACGATATATATATATATATCTTAGGAAACCAGTGTCAGATGATGAATATTGGCCAACATACACCCGGGAACATCCACTTTATTACATATTCAACGCAGAAACAAGTGGTACAGGACTGGGCCCACGTGCAACATCATGCGCTTTTTGGAATGATTTCATGCCAAAACTTTACCATAATCCAGGTAAATTTATGAGGATATATTTTATAACATATTTTAAATTGTTTTTTTGATGAGTTTTAAAAATTAAATTTGAATAGTATTAATATTTATATAGTAAAAATAAAATTAGATATGATTTAGGTTCTTAGGGTTTTTTTAAATGAAAATAAAGAAAATTCACATATAAAAAATAATTTATCTAATAAAAACACTTATTAATAAAACAAAAGGAAAATATACAATAAAAATATTTAATACCTAATCTTGGACATTCCACAAATATTGGGTTGGCAAATAAGTCCTTTCGATTTTTCTATAATAAATCATGTATGTATTTAAAGAAAAAACTATGTTCTACAATTTTCTTTTAGAACAAAAAGCCATGGTGTTAAAAAGACAAGTTTGACAAAAACGTTAGGTGAAAATACATTTTTCAAAAATAACCAATTCAGTGAATATCTCGAAAACTATGAAAGATACGAAATATATATAAGTATAAAATTTCTTGAATGAAATTTTGTCAGTTTTAATGTTTTATATGACAATGTTTCGTCTATGATGCCTCTTTTTCAAGATATTTGAGAATATCTAGAAAAAGTGAACTTTGTGGCGCCCCCCTCCCTCCACCATGAAGTGGAAGGAATAGGGGTGGCGACTTTTAGAATGTTTACCTCCTAAGTGTCTCCAACCCCAACAAAGTCCCAAAGTCAATTGCTTGTCCATCCTCTATGCACTCTACATGTCTTTTTTTACCATTCATTGATTGGGCTAACAGCTCATATTAAATTTTTAGGCTTTCTTTTGTTACTAAGCCCAGTGATTTTATATTCCCATTTTATTTGCCTCAACTTAATCATTTCAATTATATTAACCGGCTATAGTTGGCGCAATTCAGCATTGTGTAACCACCTAAATTCTCTGGTTGACTCATCCTTCTTCGGTCCGAATATTCTATGCAATACTTTATTTTCAATAATCTTAAGACGTTGCTCATCCCTTAATGTAAGTGACCACATTTTGCATCCATAATGAATCGTAGGAAGGATAATGGTTTTGTAAATTATTATTTTTAAGTTTTGAGACAGGACTAAGTAGTTTTGACAAAGAAAAATAATAAGCATTCTCACCTTAAACCTAACCTTAATCTCCTCTTCAATTTAGTTATTATCCCCCATTTGGGTCTGCGGGTTTGGACTGCTTTAGGAGATCCAAGGCGCAAGTTGATAACGAACCTAAACTTTATTAATATGGACTTAAAGCTTATTAAAGAAAAAAGCTCTTCTATAAGATTTCATTTTGTAGTCCAGTAGATAGGCTGATAAAAAAGAGTTATTAACTTACGATTTTATGAAATATAGAATTTATCATAGTTTAGTTGCTTAAAATTCTCTTTAAAATGTTTTTTCATAATGAAAAGTCCTTGCATTCGCAGAAAATTTTTATGTGTTGCGATTCATAATTACCTAAATCGAAATGCATTTTGGATGACTCCCACTTTCTACGGTGGACTCTTCACCTATCAACTTAAAAGTTACTTTGTTTTAGGAAATTAAATCAACAATTGATCTATTTTAATTAATTTTAAAATCAATATTGGCTTCTATCCTCTTGGTTGCCTTCTAGTTCCCTTCCAATTTTTTAAGCTTATTGTGTTCTTCCATTCATCATTAATAGAATATACCTTTTAGAATTTATACACATATTTTGTTTTATTATTTTCAATCATGAACCATTGCAATCAACCATAAAAAATTAAGTAATTATCTCTCCCTCATAATATTTTAGCATTTACTTATTTTGATTTGTTCAGAAATCAATATACAATGCAAATTATTCATACAGGCCATCCTGTTAAAACATAATGTGACAAACAAAAAACTGGAAATAAAAAAAAATGTGTATGTATATATTAATGGTCAAAAACATAATACAAAACACTTTTTAAAAATTAAAATAACATTAATTAACACATAAGAAACAGTAGGTATGTAAATTTATTAAAAATATAATGATTTTAATGTTTATTTTAATGTTTTGTCAAACTTAGATGCCAAAAATATTATACTTTTTGTGAATTCTCAGACTGCTATCCTCACTGTTTCTCAGCCCAGTGAATCTTATGCTCAGGATATTCTGAAATTATAAAAGATTGTTGAGAGATTATTTCTTCAAGGAAGAGAGCAATTTTTTCTAGACTATCTATCTATCTATCTATATCTATCTATCTAGTCTCCATGGCAACAAAATGGCAGATTAACAAACCAAGAAAGGCTTAACATTATTAAAACAATCAGAAAACTGGATTTCATTCCAATGGCACTACAGCCCAATGTGGACCCTGGCCTCTTCAATGAGCCTTCGCCAGGTGGTTCGATCTTGTGCAGCCACTCTCCAATTCCGTACTCCCAAAAGGGCCTTAGTATCCTTAAAAGACCACATCTTCCCATCTTAGCTTTGCCCTTCCTCTTCCTCTCGACGGGTCCAGTTTCCCCAATAGCAGTTTCTTAGGGGTTTCTTCCTCGTTCATGCTTGCTACATGGCCTGGCCAGTCGATCACACTTAATAAAACAAATGTCATTCGCTTCCCCAAAGAGTTCATATACTTCCCCATTATAGTGCCTCCTCCACTGGTTCCTTTCATTAATGGGTCAAAAAATACAGTGCAAAATCTTTCTTTCAAAGATAAAAAGTTCTTTCTCTTCTGTTCTACTCAGGTCCACCTCTCTGATGCATAGGTTAGTACAAGTCGTATTACTGTTTTATAAAGTTGGCACTTGGCCTGACAAGACAAGGTCTTACTGCTAAGGAGTTTCCTCAGGCCAAAATAGCAGCAATAGGCCTTTCCTATTCGTTGGCAAGTCTCAAGAGATATGGCATTTGAACATACCAACTATTGTCCCCAAAGACTATTGTCCGTTCCTGGGCCAGCTCTCATATATTTAGTTTTTTCCTGGTTGATATTTGGCCCCATATTAGCAGCTTCTTCCATTATATTAAGAAAATCATTTTCTAAGGCTTTTAAAGACTAGCTACAATGTACAAATCATCTGTTTAGGCAAGCACCTGTACCATCCTATCAAAAATATTACCTGTAGATTCAATTCCAGCCTTTCTTATTACCCTCTCTAAGACAAGATTAAATAATTAGCAAGCTAGTGCATCGTCCTGTCTCAGTCCTCTCCTAACATCATTCATCATAATTTGGATTAGGTGGATGAGCTTAGATGGGATCCTGAATTCTAATATTACCATTTTGGGGGATTTCAGCCTTTTGTATTGGTATTTGTATAATCCTTGTCGATTCCCAAATTCGGCACTACCTTCTCCTGCTATTGTTTAATATTGACTGCTGTCGATTTGTAGACTAGAAATAAATTAAAATAGAACTACATAATGAAAAGTTTTTGGAATTTATGGAATTGTTGTTGGATATTGATAACTTAAAAATAAGTAAACAAGCTTGAAACATTGTTAAAAAGTGAATAAATATTACAATTACAAGACTTGTATATCCTAGGAGACACCATTTTAAGTACATTAAGTGATCTTGAAAAACCTTCAACTAAAGTTACTCAATACATATTTTATTTATTTATTTATTTATTTATACATGATATTTACAACTGTATTAAAAAATTAAATACATTAAGTAAATTTGATAACAGAAAATAAAAACATGAAATGACTTGTTGAGAAACTACCCACTGGTAGCACTCTAAAAACAAAATGTATTTACAATAAGAGATCTCGAGGCCATCTTCTTTTCAGACGCCTCGGAGGGTTACTCAATACATATAAATAAAATATATAGAGATTAGTAAGCAACAAGTTGTCCATTAAAATTAATAGATGAATTTGCAAGGGTTTTTTTCTCAGAAACTTATTCTTCCATTGATTGAAATATTTTTAAAATAACTCTTCTCTATCAACCAATGTGATAGAAGTGAATCTATACTCACTTAAAATTATCAACTTGTTGTTTTCAGTAGAAACTTGTTTTCAAATAATATTTCATCCTTTTTGTTATTCTTAGAGCTCGCTCAGCCATAAAATTTAATTACTGAAGGTTGCATTATTTTGTTGTTTTGAATGGAACTTACAATTGTAATTTGGAACTTCATATTCAATGTTGCATTTTACTTTTTTATTTCTATTTATTTATTTTTTTTATTGAAACCATCAAAATATATATAAAATTTTACTAATTGCATCTGAGTACAGTGATTCATAAAGGTATTAAAATTTAAAAAAAACTTCATACAAACAAAACATACATTGTTTAAAAATTCAGGCTGTGGTTATAATGTATAAAACATAATTTAAATAATATATTTATTTCATATAAGATTAAATAAAATATGAATAACAATATTTTAATATAAAATATATAATCATTTAATATGTTGTGGTTTTATTGAAAAAATTCATTAAGTAACATTTTATAAAATTAAACCACTAACAAATTTGATGAATTTACTCTGTGTGAAACCTGGACATTGTGTACTTAATGTAACTATTTTTAATATATACCAGGTGTGTAATTATGAAACCGGAGTTGGTCCATATATGGCACTAGTTGTTAATTCAGTTACCGGTGTCATTTCGTTTCTTTAACAACTGGCAAAGATTTTCAACTCACAACAATACAAGTTTCGAATAACAGCAACATTTTAGTACCGTTGAACATGCCAAGTTTTGGGTTGAGGCAGCATTAGTTTTTTTTTTTACTGTTTAAAGAAAACTGCTGCAGAATTGCATCAAATGCTTGTCAAGTCTTATGGCCAGCATGCTCTTGGTAAATCACAGTGCTTTGTTTGAAAAATTCAAAAGTTGGGAATTTTGGTATGTGAAATGAAGAAGGTGGAACGTGGATATGCTCTAATTATAAGACGATAAAATCTGACCACACTGTTAATACTGAATTCTATCAACAATAAATGATCAATTTGAATTGAATATTATGTGAAAACAAGCAGAATATAGAAAAAAAACATCACAAAGTGATTTTGCTTCATGATAATTCACCATCAACAAAATCAATTTCAACCACAGCAAAATCAGTGAATGAAACAATTGAGGATTTTAGATTGGAAGTATTAGCACATGGGGCTTGCTCACCAGAGTTGGCTCCATTTGACTAATATTTATTTGTATTGATGCAGGATGCTTTGGTTCAGCAGTGCTTGACTTCCGATGAAATTGTACAAAAACGGCTTGATGACTGGTTGGCCAGAAATGAGCAACAATTTTTCTGGCCTGGCATTCATAAATTGCCCGAGAGATGGAGAAAATGTATAGCTCATGATGGACATATTTTGAATAAAATTTCTTTAATATTTATTAACATGTAAATGTATATTTTCTGGTTTCATATTTACACATCTGGTAAAAGAATTTGTGTCATTTTATAATACATAAACAAAAATTATTGCTTTTTTATTATTACATAAAAACATAATTTATAATTTAGTTCCTTCAAAAATGTGCTTAGTGACTTTCCAATAAACCAAGATATATTTTTCAATAATTACATTACATTATTAGTACCTATGTTAATAAAGTCGACTCTTGATAATTCAAATTTTTCGATATTTCGAACTCTTCATCTGTTAACTTCAGTAAATTGAAAAAAATGCTATATTTTGTTATGCTCAATAACTGAAAATCCTATGAGTAACGAGAGGAGGAGAGAATGTTCTATAATTCAAACTAGGTCACTTCCCCTCTTTATAATTTGAATCATTTCTCCTCATTTTACACGTAATGTTTACCTCCTTTCAGTCCAGTTTTACTTCCCAATTCTCTTTAGTTTGTTGCGATGAGTGCAAGGCAGAAGTACGCCTTCCTTACTGTATCCGACAACAACAAAAATTATCGCGTCTTTGAATAGAGGTTTAAAAAATAAAAATAAGATACTGCCAAAACTTTCAATATTTCCCCATCGAAGCTGTCTACGATCCTGAAGAATAAAAAATCACAAAGTGACATCCCTATTCTTGACGATTTGTTAATCAAGTGGCTCAAAGTGCTTGGGCAATGCAGAGCACAAAACTTACCTGTTGTAGGTGCTCTCAATCAGTCGCACAACAATCTATTGCAATGTTAATATGGAATTTTTTTTCTTCTTTATCGTTGTTATAATAACTTTCACTTGAGGTTATGTATATATAAAGTTTTTGTAAGCTCATAACTATTTTTAAAAATATAATGAAAACTCTTAATAATTCAAATTTATTTTCTTTCTTCTTGATAATTTGAAATTCATGATAATTCAAATTTTACTTGTAATCTCATGGATTTTCAATTATCGAGAATGAACTGTAGCAACATTGATTTTAACATTTTATATATATATGTATATAAAAAAAAAAAATTTGATGTAGTAAAATGCTAAATTGTAATATTTCTTTATTTTACAGATGATAGTATTGAGTGTAATCAAGGTAACGGAAAACCTCCCAACTATACCATGAGCAGCACCGCAATCCCGCAAGTCATAGGAAGCGGTTCTAACAGATTTCAAGTAGCCTGGAGCTGTTTAACAGTTTCTCTAATCTTCATTGTTTATGTAAAATGAGTAGGTTCGGAGATCCTTAGTGACGAGCACAGCACGCATAGGGCCTAGAATAGCCGATGCACAATAGCTTCAGGCAAAGGCCAACAGCGTGACATGGAAAGAGTATGTTTGTATTGATTGTTTTATGAAGAAATATTAACTAATTCCTTCCTTTATTGCAGATAATAGAAGCTACAAAACCAAACTAGGTTATCTAATTTGTGATATCAAAGCATATCAGAAGCAATGCATACATATCCTTAAATGTAACGATTGCTCTCGTGTCCTTCATAAGCATTTGCAATATCTTGCTATACCTCATTAAAATATATTTAAAAAAATTTAAAAAAAAAAAAAAGAAGAAAAAAAGAAATTATACATATAAAAATGTTAAATGCATTGATGGATTTATATTTTGAAAGCTATATGTGGCATATCATTAAAATATTTTTATGAATGTAGAAAGATATCAATTAATATGTGTTAATATATACATGTCAGTATATTTAGATATAAGATTAACTGTTAAATGTAGCTTACAATAGTGTACTTTCAGGGTATCTGTACTCATATTTTCACTAAACCTATTTGTTTAACTTAGCTATAACCTTATCTATGTGGCTACTTGTTACCGAACTAAATGAAATAGTACGTACAGAAACGATCTGTGTGATTATTATGTGTAATTTAGTTGTTTTATTAATTTCCAAATAGATGCTTAAAAAATTAAGAAGATTATGTTGATATAAAATATAAACGACAGATTTAATAGATAAGAGAATCAGAATGGAAGATTATATGAGTCTGCTGTATACCCTATTATGCATACTTATAATGGAGTACATTTTTAAAAGATTCCATGATAGTAGGATAAAAACTTCCAAACAATGGCAAAACATATTTTCATACTCTATTGAATTTTTTTTTTTTTTTATTACATCAAAACCCCAAATACCCAAAATATGTAGAATTGCTCACTTTATCAATTTATATAGAATATACATACATACTTACATATATTAATATATGTACATATGTATATACATATTATATATTAATTTATGTATAAATATATGTGAAATTGTCCAATATGACACGGTATATTATACGCCTAATTAATTGTAGGGAACATTCAGGACAATCTGGAACCATTTAACAATAACTATTAGCTCAATATTGAACATAATGTGCTGTATAATAGACATTCTAAAATTATTCAGAACCTACTTTATGTTCAGAGAATTTTTATTCTTTTGTTGATATTTCTTATAGCCACCATGAGATTCATATATATAAATATAATTTATTACATATGATATAATAGAAGAATATCAGGGGCTGATTGTACTTCTAATTTATATATATATATATATATATATATATATATATATATATATATATATATATATATATATATATATATATATATATATATATATATATTAATACATGTAATTACAAGGAGACCTTATATAAAATCATCTTTACTAATTCTGTTTTTTAGGTTAGCGTCTACTATAAAAGGTTTTTTTTTTTAATACCAAATTCCTTGCAAATTTTGAATGATTTTTCCCTAAAAATGAAATTCAAGCAATTTCGAAAATTATAGAAAATTTATTACTTTTCTAATTGTGATTCCTCATATATAGGTATTTTCTCTATCAAGTTTCTGAGACCCACATTAAATTCTGTTAATATAGACTATACAAGTAAATATATTCATTATCACGGTTTGATTTGATACAATATTAAAAATATATATATATTATTACCCATAAAAGCCAATGCATAACTAATATTGAAAATATTAATTTCTTATAAATCTTACTATTAATTTTTTTTTTCTCAAGGTATATATTTTAAGTAAAGTTTATTATTTCGAGGAATATAGTAACCCTTATTTACTTTATAAAAACTTATTTTTTTTTTACCTTTCAGGCAATTTGGCCCATTTTCAAGTCAAAATATTAATATAATAAAGAGAAGAACAATATTGTTTAAGTATTCTGTTTTCATTAGCATATCCTTTTCTTTTGAATTTTTCAATTATTCGGATATCTGTAATATCTTTCTGATTATAATGAGTATAACAGTAATTATTGGTATTTCAAAAATTTATATACTTTTGAATTTGTCTCAAAGAACAGGGTGTGTTAGGATTTGTGACCACTTTCTCTATTAAACCTTAAGAAAAGTAGTTTTTAATTGGTTAAAATTTTTAAGAAAAACCTAAAGGATTTATTCACCGTTATTTAATAACTTTTCAGTGATATTAGCAGTTTTATGGATGAAATTATTATAAAAAGAAAAGGCATAACATTAGAGTTTATGGTCAGATTTAAAATTCGTCATTCAAAATTAGAATTGAGATCAACCCCTGAAGTTTCACTAATACTTAGTAATTTACCTTTACCCATAAATGTTCATTTCATATAAACAAATAATTATTATACTGATTGGTCCTAAATTAAGGCCTAGCTTATTATGTATATACTTTAAAATTTTAGTTCTTTGTTTTATTTTTTCCAGTCAATGTTTGAAGAAAAAAAATATGTGTCTCTAATTTTTCTATTTAATTGTTACTTTTTTCTTGCTCTTTTTATTCATAATATTTTAATAACACAACTAACAGATTTAAGTATGCATGTAGGTTGTTCATGCCTACCGTCCATGATAAAACTAATTGTAACAAAAGAAAAAAAAAAACTAAATTCAAAAGTATATTAGCATTGCTGCTGCAGTTTATTTACATATTATTTTTAATTTTCACAATGTGGCAAAATGTGACGAGTTGAACATCTGCATTGCATAGCTAAATCAAATATGCCAAAAGACCAAATGAATTCGCACAATAAGTAGGTTTCAAGCGCACAGTCAATTAGTATTTTTATGAAAATCAAATCACACTTTAGAAAGAAATCAAACTTCTGTAAGATTCCTAGTGCCTGTAGAAAATTCCACTTGATGCTACCTAACTGAAGTTTGTATACTATCGTGTAAGATGTATGTAATGAAGAGCACCGTATGCTTGTAGATGACGTTTCTTTCGATAGAATATATTTTCTTTAATGTAGAATAACTTGTAAACTAGTAAATGGGCAAAATGTACCATTGTGATCTATATCATAAATGAAAATTAATCCAATCGTAAAAGTTTTGGATAGCAAGAGCTGAGTTGGCCAACCTGGAGCGAACGTATCAAAAGTTATTCATTGAACGATTAAATGTGGCATATTTTCTTCTTTTTTTTTTAGTTTGAATTTTTATGTGAAGTGCTATATGCCTCCTGTTTACATATTTAGTTTCTTTTAAGAGTATTTTTATTTCAAACTGCAATATATGTCCTATGTCTATAAAATCTATAAATTTTGTAAAAGTATTAAAAACAGGTCTGCCACCTTAGCTAAAATGATAAAATTTGGTGCCTGAACCGTTACAGTTTGGCCATCCCTAACCCCTAGAGCCAATACTTATATAAATGCATTACAAAGATATCAGCGATGTATAATTAAGCTAGTCTTATGATAAGTATAATTATGATAATTAAAAATGTGGGTGTTGCTTAATTGTTATCATAGTTATATATAATGAAAATTAGATGACATTTGTATATTACATTTTATACATAATATACATATTAGGCTATTTTTATGGTTTATAGATATTTGTGATATATATTTGTAAACTGTATTTAGTTATTAATTGTTTTAATTGTTTAAATATCTAAGCTATTATGTTACATTATGATTTATTTAATTAATATTGAGTCCATTATAACCTGATAAAATTTATATCACAACAGGTTGTGAATTAGATAATGATCATAATGAAATTATAAAGTATCTTTTGACTAGTATTGTTTTTTTTGTTTTTTTTTAATTTATGTCGTAGCCAACGGCTGACTTGTACTTTATTTCCCGTTTAAATTATATTTTACAATTATCTTAAAACAATATTTTATGTAATTAAATATAAATAAGAATATTTATATAAAAACGAAACATATCAAATATTATTTTTATATCATTAATAAGGACATGAAAATTTATAAATTAAACTTTGCTAACAAGAAAAAGCAACATATCAATACTTCCACATATCAAAATACTTATTAAAGAACTAATAGCAAATAAAAATTAGATAAATAAAATCGATTGGGATGTAGAAAATTAACTGTAACGTTTTATATATTTAAAAGAGTTAAATGTATGAAATGAATATTTGTTGTCTGATTTTGTTACTCCCAATTGAGCATATTTTAATGTAATGCTTTTCAACCTTTTTATATGCCAAATATCTATTTAAGGTCTGGTTCTAGTGTTAATTTGTTTTAGATTTTATTTCTTTGTTATTTGTTTTCCAGATAGTGTAAATTAGGCTGTCTAAGTGTAGATGCATAGATAAGATTATCATTTTCTTGAGTAGGAAATTGAAGTTACCTGTAAAAGACTTCATTAAACAAAAAAAAAAAAAAAAAAAAAATTGGTGTATATATAGAGGCATAATATGCGATGAACATTGCTCGAATAGATATTAGAAAAATGTACTATATATAAATAAATTACATTTTATACTTTGTAAAATGTGAACCAACCATGCAATCTAATTTTTATAATCATCTGAAAGAAAAAAAAAACAGTATTTTAGATATAGACTCTTGGTGATTCTAACAACTGAAAATTATACATATCAGAAAAAAATTTTAAAAATAAGATATTGATATATATTCTAATAGAATTTCAGACTTCAATCTAATGATTCATTATTTTTATAAAAGGAAATAGTTATTAAATTATCTTTGAAAAATATAAATATGCTTGTTTTTAATAAAACAAACAAAAAAAAGTAAAAATTATAGCTCAAATACTAAAAGTAGTCATCTCTATCCAAACATCATTTATTTTTTAAGAAAAGATTACGACTTTTTAAGATGAACTCTAGTGTGAATAATATTCAGATTTTACTAAACCTTGAAAATCGTAAATTTTTAAAACACACGACCAGAGTTCATATGCTCAATT